CCTTCCTTCTGCTACAGCTGTTCCACATGTCTTCCTACTAACTTATCTGGTTCCTTTATTATCTCCTATTCCTTTCTCAGTATTTACTTTTCTGGGTTTAATTGCTGTTTTCTTCCGTTGGCCAACATTTGCTCCGCCTACGATTCCCTCTTAGATTCCTTTGTTGATTGATTCAGAACTGTCTTTTGCGCAGTAAGCTTTCGTATTCAGGTCCTTCCCATATCAGAACTGTCTTTTGCGCAGTAAGCTTTCGTATTCAGGTCCTTCCCATACCAGAACTAGATGTGAATCTAAAATTACCCATTGAAAAAACCCAGAAAAGAAATAGGGCAGGCTGCAATCAATCTATGATAATGCTTTTAATTAAATTGAGTGTTTTTACTTTGGGTGACCTTAATTCGTTCATCGCAGCCCACTTCCCGATTTAAAGCAATTAACAGCTTAAAAGCCAGTAAAACAGATGAATTCTGAGAGGAGGGCAGTTGGGGTTTGCATCGGAGACACACCCACCTTCACTCGTCGCCGGATGCTCTCACGATGCAGATTGTCTTCATCTATCTCTGCCACCTCGTCTTCTTCACTGACCTCTCCTGTCAGAGGGTCTTCCCCGGTCCCATTGAAGCTATCCTCTAAGCCTCCGATTTTCTTTGCCTTCAGAAGAATCTTTCCTTTAAGTTCCTGAGGAAAATGAAACACTTTGACCTAAAACCTCTGGCGTTATCTGCAAATGAATTTGTGTTGAACACAAGAGGAAAACATTTAAAAATTCAAGTCGGTGGCAGTTGGACCAAACAAGTTGAGATTAGAACAAACCAGAGAAGGAACACAGGGACTACCCCTTGTCAGATCCTGAAGGACCAATCATGCACCATAATTATAGGCCTGCTAAAGAACGTCTAAACCCCCTATGTTCTCAAAGCAAACCTCCATTAAAGAACAGCTGCAGGACGCTCACCTCAGGAGAAGGCAGCCGGACCGGAGGCCGGCCATCCAGCATGCCTTTAAGCAACTTATCCCCAAGGATGTGCTTGAGGTGTTGGGCCATGACTCTCTGCTGGTCGATGCTGCAGTGGTTCTCCATCGACAGGATGACCGGGTATTCTGATACCTGAGGGAAGGAAAGAAGGAAGGGAAGACCTAATGGACCCTAATTAACCTGTTCCTCTGAAATAATGGGTGCTTCAAGGCTGCAGTGTTGGGCCGATTAATTCTTAAACGTCTATAGCTATATACATCAAGAACATCTAGAATGGTGTAGAATTAAAGTACTAGTTTTACAAAATAAAATATATAGCATACCGAAAAGTTTTAAGAAATGTGGCCTAACATAGATAAATATATTTACTTTTGGCTACCATGCAAACATCAGTATGAAAGGATTCTGTACCAGGAGGAATAGTGGGTTGAAGTCAGTGAGAAAGAGCCAAGTAGCTCTGCCATAGAGCTGGAAAATGGCTTCTTCTCACTGCTAACTGTTTCAAATTAGAGCAAATAAAATATATGCAAAAGGGAAAACGAAGGAGAACATCAACCTCAACAAACTACAATGACCCAAGAGCCACGAGGTTCCCACTGAGCAAAAATTGATTGGAAAGGCATTGAAAGCTGGGTTTTAGTGTCTTTTGTGCCACTATATTTGGACTGAACTGGGGCAAAAATCAGACCAACCAAACACAGCCCAATTTTCAACAACTATTTTCTTCTGAAGTCATACGATAATGTTTCATTTGGTAATTATCATATCAGCAAA